TTGAAGGAAGTTTCTTATATTTTAAGATTTCTTGACCAGATAGGAGTTCCCTGACAAAACAAAAAACTTGGAAATACATTTGTGACTGAATTTCAATTATTAATGTGTCACCAAATTGATAATTGAAATTCAGTCACAAATGTATTTCCAAGAACAGTCAGACAAAAGTAACCTGGATGGATAACTTTAATACAAACCATTCTTTGGAAAAATAAAATCAGAAATCTTTGGTAGAGATGTGTATAAATCAAAAGACAATGAAAATGAGTTCTGCATTGTTAAATTGCTTATTTCTTAAGTTATTGGAAAATGTAAGTGAATTTAAGCAAAAATGCATATTTTCATGTGTATCACTGTGTAATAGGTACTCAAAATTTTTTGCATAATTCTGGTTGGCTTACTAGTCAATATAATATAAAACATTGTATTAAATGTGAAAACATTATATTATAACAAATTTAAATTCCAAATGATCATACTTTATTATCTATATATATAAAAATGGGGAATATCGCACTTCTGACAATCGCTGCAAGCGTGTAGGCTAGATTTGGAGAATCCTGCTTCTCGCATGGACAACTGTATGTGGCCAACTCACACTTCAGAAAATCTTCTGATTTATTTGTGTACGCACCAGACGGAAAAACAAAAAATATCATGTATCCACAAACACTCCAATAAATAAATAGAATTGAAACGACACTTTGAAGTGTTTTTCCGATGAAAATTAATAACAATAATAATTCAAAGGAAAACAAGAACAACGCTTACTAAGCATAAACATTATCATCCTAAATCCGCCACAGAAAGATTAACCCTTCCACGTAAAGATGGCAGACATGGTCTGATTGACATAGTTAACCTTCACTTCAAACAGATACAGTCACTGCGAGAGTTTTTCTACAGGAAACAAGAAACATCACAATTACATAAAGCATTAACTCTAGCAAACTCAAATAGCACACCATTAAACTTACACTCACATCACACAGACNTTTTAAATATATTATATTTTTCCAGGATATATAAAAATGCATGTAACTTTTTGATACAGATATAGCAATTGGATCTATTATGTGCAGAGTTTGTACAATTTATGAAACCATCTGAGGAATTAACTATTTTCTGCATCAGGAAATTCCAGATGTTGGAATTGCTTAATATAAAGCTATTTTGTTCAAAGAATGTGGAGTAACTTTTTAATAGACAAATATTTGCTTTTGGATTAAAGAGTTCAGAAATATACCTCAGTTAGGTAAACTTGCAATTGCACATTACATGTACCAGTACCTTCTAGTAATTCAGAAGTTGAAGGAAGTTTCTTATATTTTAAGATTTCTTGACCAGATAGGAGTTCCCTGACAAAACAAAAAACTTGGAAATACATTTGTGACTGAATTTCAATTATTAATGTGTCACCAAATTGATAATTGAAATTCAGTCACAAATGTATTTCCAAGAACAGTCAGACAAAAGTAACCTGGATGGATAACTTTAATACAAACCATTCTTTGGAAAAATAAAATCAGAAATCTTTGGTAGAGTTGTGTATAAATCAAAAGACAATGAAAATGAGTTCTGCATTGTTAAATTGCTTATTTCTTAAGTTATTGGAAAATGTAAGTGAATTTAAGCAAAAATGCATATTTTCATGTGTATCACTGTGTAATAGGTACTCAAAATTTTTTGCATAATTCTGGTTGGCTTACTAGTCAATATAATATAAAACATTGTATTAAATGTGAAAACATTATATTATAACAAATTTAAATTCCAAATGATCATACTTTATTATCTATATATATAAAAATGAATGTATGTGTCTGTCCTTCATGCATTACCACATTGTTTATCCGATTACCGTGAAACTTTGGGAAGTTGCTTAATACACTCCCGCGAAGGTTTCTGGCATAGTACATTTATCCTACGATAGAGGGCACGTATGTATACGAACATTTTACAGTGTGTTCGATCAATTTCAAATTGTGAAGACCATTTCCCCCTCCAAAAAATATCTCTACATATGCATTTGTGAACTGTTATTTACAATATTTGTAATAATTTTTGTTTAATTAATCACTTTATTTCAACTTTTTTTTTTTTTGCTAATTAGGTATTCGCTGGAACTTTGTTAAAACCTTAGCTGTACCCCAAACAACAACCGAAGTTGTAGAAGGAAATTTGCCTATTTTACCGATCTAGAGATCCCCCTTTTCCAAATTATAATATCAACTCAAAATAATTTAAAAAGACAAATTACAATAAAATGGTTTATTATCCAACTATCAGAAATTTCACATGATGCCAAGGAAGAGAGGAAGGAGCAATTAAATAATTAAAATTGCAAAGGATTAAAATATATATATATATAAATGGGGAATATCGTACTTCTGACAATCGCTGCAAGCGTGTAGGCTAGATTTGGAGAATCCTGCTTCTTGCATGGACAACTGTATGTGGCCAACTCACACTTCAGAAAATCTTCTGATTTATTTGTGTACGCACCAGACGGAAAAACAAAAAATATCATGTATCCACAAACACTCCAATAAATAAATAGAATTGAAACGACACTTTGAAGTGTTTTTCCGATGAAAATTAATAACAATAATAATTCAAAGGAAAACAAGAACAACGCTTACTAAGCATAAACATTATCATCCTAAATCCGCCACAGAAAGATTAACCCTTCCACGTAAAGATGGCAGACATGGTCTGATTGACATAGTTAACCTTCACTTCAAACAGATACAGTCACTGCGAGAGTTTTTCTACAGGAAACAAGAAACATCACAATTACATAAAGCATTAACTCTAGCAAACTCAAATAGCACACCATTAAACTTACACTCACATCACACAGACATGACACAACACATAAAAAGCATAGACACCATCAAGCAATCATGGGCTCGAAAGGCACTCCATGGCAGGCATCCTTATGACCTGGCCCAGGATTTTGTTGACAAAACTGCGTCAAACAGCTGGTTAGATCGGGGATGCCTCTTTGGGGAGACGGAAGGATTCATGATTGCCATACAGGATCAGGTCATAAATACTAAAAACTACAGAAAACACATACTCAAAGATACAACACTCACAAATGACACATGCAGAAAATGTCACATCATGCCAGAAACTATACAACACATCACTTCTGGTTGCAAGCTCTTGGCACAGACAGATTACTTACATAGACACAATCAAGTAGCAAATATAATACACCAAGAGCTTGCAAAGAAACACAAATTGGCAGACATCCACGAACCATACTACAAGTATATTCCACAGACAGTATTGGAAAATAACACGCACAAAATGTATTACGACAGAGCCATAATCACAGATAAAACAATTTACCACAACAGACCAGACATCACACTCATTGACAAACACAATAAAATCACATACATTATAGACATAGCCATTCCAAACACTCACAATGTACAAAACACATGCACTGAAAAAATTAGCAAGTACACAGAACTCGCCCAGGAAATAAGGCATCTGTGGAGGATGGATAGGGTGCTTATTGTACCTGTTGTTCTCTCCTGTACAGGTGTGATACCACACATGCTACACAAAAGCCTGGGAACATTACAATTGAGTAGAAATACATACATCACACTGCAGAAGGCCACTATATTGAATACATGCCATATTGTTAGGAAATTCCTTAATACAGACACTGTCACTGACACACACATTTAATTTTAGTTTTGTTTTGGTTGCTATGCCTTGACTCTGGTTTGGCATAGTACACAGCCACCAGTGTGTACCGAGTATAACCCACTAAACCCAACACATAATAATAATAAGGTTGAATAAAAATGATAAAATGTAAATTGAATTTTATCATAACAAGTTTGCTTGAATTTCATTTCTTCTGAGATCGCAGCAATGCGTGACGGGTAAGCTAGTATTTTAATAAATGTTAATGTATGGTACATGACAATGATTTTACAAAGAAAAGTTTTGTATTAGTTAGAGGTTTGAGAACCCATTTAAGTGAATGGCAATGGCAGTTAATTAAGTAGCATATGGTAACCTGTTGTTCTGGTGTTAAGTATGAAAATTCCTACATGAAAACCTCTGTTTAATGCATTAATTAAAGAAACAATAATGATCCTGGTTTACTAAATATTTTTCATATCCATCATATACACTGCTACATATTATAGATTGTTAAAAAATGAAAATTCAAATAAATCCATTGAGATTACAATTGTTTTATAATTGAAAATTATGCTAGTTATTTTAAAATGATTATATTTATGAAAACCAGAAAATGTATAGACGAGAAAATCATAGGATATATCTGAATGAAAATTAGATTGTACTAACCAAATTAGAAAGATAAGATGATTATTTTGTCATTATATAGTTTTCTCAGAATGGTTAATCAGTTTTAAAAAATTTTCAGTAAAAGGAAAACATCTTATCATAAATCATGTTAATGATGATGGATTTATTGTGCTCTCAATATTTTTGAATCCACAAAAGATTATCATGGGGGAAATAGAAATACCTTCAATCCATTTTTGAACTGTTATTATGTCTAAATTAGATAAAGGCAATGTCACTGGATTTTATTGCACTCAGTAATATTCTGTCAGAGTAGAAAAAAATTTCAAACATGAATTGGAGAAAGGAAGAAATAATTGGATAATTACAAATTAAGATTGTTTTGTTAGGTATGTTAACATTTGTTTATCAAAGTTTTCATAAGATTTAAAGAGCATGATAGAGGAAACTGTGTTGTCTTTCTGTGTCTTTCTGTTTCAGTATTATGCCTATTAACTTAGCATCCTAATATAATATAAATTTGTTAATGTTTTAAACATTATTTTAAAATCTTAATGAAAGTTTTGAAAATGAGATATATATTAAAACTATTTAATTTAATTATTTTACATTATTTTTATTCTTTAAGATATATATATATTTGTGTGTTTGTTTGTTTGTTTTCTTGTGAATTATAATGGCTTTTTTTTTTCTAGATGTATCAGTTAATATACAAAAATCGGGAAATTTAGATAAGAAAAAGAATAATAAAAAACAAGCATTTAATGTTTACAAAGATGAAAATACATGTGTAACAAGTATTCCAAGTCAAACTAAAAATTCTATTAAAATTGCATCTAGAGCTGAAAAAGTCAAGGAAAACGAAATGAAACCCAAGAAATGGTCAGAAGCAAAGGTAATAAATATAATGAATCCATTTTTAAAAATACTTTTAAATTTAAGTATTAACTTTAGTAGTTATAAATGATTAAAATGAAATTAATGTAAAGCAATTTTAAATATAAGTATAGAAGAAGAATGGTGAAGTATATTGATGTGCATTTTGGACACTTGAATAGATTCCCTCTCCACAACCTTCAGTTTATCAAACTGGCTGCTTTACACAATTTGGTCTTCTAAATTAAAATAATCTTGATGTCAAGGAGATTGCATTAGATACTTTTCTTTACATTGATGGTGTTTTTGATAAGAATGCTTTTGGGACCATCAGATATGCTGCACTTGAGCATGATATTATCCAGCAAACAAGAGCTAGATTGCTTTATGCTATTTCATCATACTGTGTTGCTTTCCCTTTTTGGAACTTTCCTGTGATCATCCATTTCACAAGACTGCTCTCAAGGTGATGTTTTTTTACTCTTGTTGTGGATGGTTTCTTAATATCTCTGGGTGTACAACCTAGAGATATTATGAAACCTTAATATCTCTGGGTTGTACACCCAGGATTATGCAGACAATATTGTTTTGTACAGGAAAATTTCCTAGTACAGGTAGCCCTCGGTTTGCGCTGATTCACAATAATGCCGCTGCATAATTCGTCGTTTCGAGGTGTAATTTCCCGATTTTACCTATGCTGGACTGATTTTCATTTCAATGTTGACATATTTACCAAGCCGCAACATTGTACATTCGTTAAAAAAAGATTTTTATTGAATATATATATTTTTTCTGTTTAATATTATTGGGTATGTATACATTTGCATTAAATTATTATTAAAATACTAAACTCAGGTACCCACGAGTCAAGTTATTAAACTTAATAGTCCAATAAATGGCGTCTGAATCCATAGCGCCAATGAATGTATCCCATATCAATTCGTTCAGGAAAACACCTTACGACGCAGTAGCACTTCCGGCGATCACAAACTATTGTTAGTGAGACAAATCTACTTCTCGTTGGCCAGATGACACTTTTTTTATTAGCCAGACAATATCTCTCTCTTCTTAGCCACCTTCAATTTTCCCGCTCAAACTGACCTTATATATTTGCTACGGTGACCAGTGGTTAACCAATCAGTGTCACCGCTCGTCTGTAGCTCTAAGTCAAGTTAACGTATCCTTTCAACTATGGAAAGTTTGACGAATGAACTTTGTGAGTTAGATAATGATTGGGAGCAAAGTACAAATGTAAAAAGGAGCATCATATTTGATCATATTCTGAAATTCTTAATGAAAGAAATCAAAAATGTAAACAATTAAAGGTGGATACTTTTTTCGAAAAATGTAAGAAATTCGAAACTAAAATTTTTAAATAAAAACATTTTACTTTATTTTACGTTAAAATACATTTTAAAAATTAAATTTATATGTATTTTGTATTATATTGTATTAATAAACAAAATTATTTGCTTATTTTTCACTTATGTAGAACCTAACCCTATACCTCTCTGTAAATATGGGTTCATTTTACGCCGATTCGATTTGTGCTGGCTTTTGTAGGAACGGAACTACAGCTTAAACCGAGGGCTACCTGTACTGTCAGACCTTCTTGAAAGAGGCCTGATTAGGGTGCAGAGCTGGTGCAGCCATAATGTCTTAAGCATCAGTTCCAAAAAACTGGTTTTGATCCCTTTATTCACAGGAGAGCTTTAAAGGGTTGTTCTGTGATAAAAGGATGTCATTTTCTTCCTTGGTTAAGTATCTTTGACTCTAGCCTGTTATGGATTTTACATCTTGATGTTACAAGACCAGGCATATCTTCCGGTTATATAGAGTTACTCTTGGGGTCTACAACCACCTGTCCTCTTTTGGATTTTTACTATGGTGCTGTAAAGTACTATATTATTTTTCCGACTTTTCCAACGATTATCGACACTACTGCGTGCCGGAAATAGCCGTTCCCTAACGGGTACTTCACGCGGATTCGTGTTAGTGTGCCAGGCCTGGACTTTAAGCGTGCACTGAATTAAATAATGACAAAGTTTGTCAATAACAAAAATCAAATATTTAATTAAACTTCTAGTAATAAACTATATACAGTATTTAGTAAAAATCAAACAATAATTTATTCAATGAAATTCAACAAGAATCAACCCGACAAACTCAAATCAATCTATTTCTAACTTAATTCTATTCCCCTTTGGAATTCGACAAAAATCAAAGACTTAACTTATAAACAATATTTCTTATAAATTAAAGATCCTAATCGTCACCTCAATATACTAGGAACCTATTTCCTCAAACTCTCAAGACTTTCTATAAGCGTCGATCCATAAATCGAATACCTTGAAAATCGCCTTGGAACTATTTGATCCTATCGGACACCTCTCTCGTTCACTGCTACTAAGCTCACCAAAGCTCGTCGCTATCAGGAATTCACCTCGTTCATCTTCACTTGAGACTCGGGATTTATAGTGTGAGGTGACGTCACAATTCTGAATGAGATCACTCTCCTCATTTACATACTTAACGTTAACAATAAACTTTTTTCGTTTGTCTGGCAGCCTATTTTCCGACAATACTCTCTAACCTTTTACATTATTCTTTTTCACAATTTTCGGGACGTTTTTTTATTCTTTAAGGTTTAGCGAGTCCCTAATTCATGCTTGTGGGGTCTCCCCCCCTTTTCTCGGTGCGGACTTACTTTTTTCCACTCGGGAAGCGCAAGTGTGCGCGAGTTTTTCTACGGCGCTTTTCTTTCGTCGGTGAGTTGGTTTTTCTTGTATTTTTAAGTTACTAAGGTGAATGGTGAGGAAACCTTCGTCCTAACAAAACATAAGCCCCAAACAAAAAATAGAATAATAAGCAAAATAAAAGTAAATAAAAATAACGTTCGGACTTGGTTCCTTACAGTGCTTCAATTTAAAATAGCCTATGCTGGTTTAGTTTGGTGGCTTAGGATGTTTACAAGGACTAAGCTGCAAAATTTGCAGCATACTGCATGCTTTACTATTACTGGGGCATTTGCCTTTGACCCAGGTAGAAATCTTGAGCTTCTGTTGGGTTTTCCTCCTCTGAACTTGCACCTGTTTCAGGCTAAGGTGAGGCGGGCCTTTTATAGACTTGGGTGTATTGGTCAACTTATTTCTAGACCAAGTACTGTTGGACATATTACTAATATTACTATACTGATGAACATGAAGGAAGATGGATTCCAACAGAATGCTACCTCTGTTTATATTAGACATATGTTATCTGGTCTCCTTTCTCACTTGCCTTTACTGACATATGGGTAGGATGTTTTTTGTTCACAGGATAGTCTGATTTACAGATAGGTACAAAACTGATAGTTGTATAGTGTTGGTATTATTGGGAGGTGATCAGGTAGTCTTTTTTGCCTAACTGGGTAGGTTTCCTGTTGTGTTTCAAGCAAAGTTGCTAGCTATTATTTAGTGTGTTTGCACTATTTTATGTAGAGATCATCTTAATAAGACTATCTACATTGTTTATTCAGTCTGCCTTAAAGACACTTGATTCTTGTCATATCATTCAGCACTTGCTTGGGAGTACAGTCGATCCCCCCCCGTATAACGCGGTAGATATGTTCCACTTTATACGAATTTCGCATTGTAGGAATCCTTAAATACATGAGCCAATCACAGCCTGGCATGTGTGCAGTTTACGGACTACGGCTATTTGAAAGGTTTTCTTTCATAAAATTAATCGCTTCTAGACTAATTTGACTCAATATTTCCAAAACACATATAATTTTTTGGGAATAATCCGTATAAACTATGCTATAAACAAAAAATTGTAGGATTACTTACTGAGTGTGCCATTGCTTAAGCTTGTTTTTGTCGCGGAGCAGCGCATCGAATGGCGGGTGCGTTTTCTAATAAGTTATTTTTCTGCAAAAAGTTAGTTGAACTTTGGAGACATCATTAATAGAAATAATTTTTATGACCGTTGAATAAGAAATGTTTTTTTCACAAGAAATGTATAAAATTACAGTATTGTATTAAACTTACAGTACCTAATTTATATACTGTACAGACAATAATAAACTCAACTTACCCGCTTAAACTGTTCGTAGCATGTAAGTAGTTCGGCTGCTCGTCCACTATTGGTCCAGATTCGACCAATCCTGTTGCGACACGAGTCGGCGATGACGTTTTACCACATTTTACGAGTCTCTGTTAGCGTCTTTATACGAATACAGTCGCAATTTTTTCGCCGCGATATATGAACCCGCATTATAGGGGGGTCTACTGTACTGTTTGCACCTCAATGAGCTGACTACCCATAACAAGGTCTTTCTCTTATGGGTGTCAGGATATGAGGATATTACTGGCAAAGTAAGTACTGATTTACTGACCAAACAGGGTATATCATATTTTTTTTTTGTAGAGGCCTGAATCACCTCTTGGTATTTTTTATAATCTGTCTTTAGAGTTGTTAAAGATTGGCCTATTTCCAATAATTCCAAGTAGTGGAGGTTAACTTCCGGTTTAAAGCAGAACAAGACTTTTTGCCTGGCCTACTTCTTTCAATGGGAATTGTGTTTAACTTTGGTATGTGTTTTGACTAGTTTTGGTCACTTTTGTAAACATCTGTGCTGACTGAAACTTTCCTCCTCGGTTTAATGCTGCTTTTGTTAATCTGCCAAGGAGACTCGTCTGCATATTATTTGTGAGTGTGCAGATTTTTGCTCAGACAAACTTGTTCATCTGGGTTCCATTTTGTTGAGTCCTGGTGAAGTTTCTCAGCTCTCCTTCAGAACTCTGCTGTTTTTATATTAATTTTTTAACTTATGCTATTTGTTTGTCTGTCTAGATAAAATCTTGTAACTCATTTTTTACCCACTTCCCAATTTCTGATCTAGTTGAATTAAATTCTAAACCAAGAAGAATTTTGATAATTCAGTGTTACATATGTAAACTAAAAAGTAAAAATTTTAATAAATACTTTTTGTTTACATAAATGCACTAAAAAGTTAAAAATAATTTTTATTTAGCTTTCACAGTATTCTTGTGGTATGCTACCAAAAATAAACTGGGGCGCTTAGAAATAAGCTGGGGCAGATTACTTAGAAAAACAGTCTTATATATATAAAAACAACTATATTACATACAAATGTACAAACAAATAAAAACCCAGCGAAGCGGGTCCTTGCAGCTAGTATGAATTAAAAATAAAAAATTTTAAAGAAATGCTTTTTCAAGCGGTTTCACTAGAAATTTTAGGTTAAGGTATGTTTGGTCTGCTGGCTCCTACTTGTACACTAACAATAACAACCCAATGTTTAGCATTTTATTTAGATATGCAGTGTTATGATCACTGATACATACTGAATTTCTGCACTTAGAGCCTGCTGTTATAGATGAGGCAAAATTGGCACTATAGTCCACAAAGTATCTAAAAACACACATTTTTAAAAACTTTTATAGTATCAAAAGCTTTCTTTTTTCTTTCAAATGATGGTTACCACAGAGATGTCATTGAATAATTACTGAAGTGTAGTGTTTTTATAATCCAAGTGGTGTATTATTTAGTGTCTGAAACATAAGTGTAGTGTTTTTTTTTTAAATTAAGACATGCTGGGACATACAAGCATGCTCTTACATGCAAAGTATGCTGTTATAAACAAAGTAGGATGTGTGTTTGAAAAGACATGAAAATGAGATTTTCATACATAAGAGCATACTCTTGTGTGCAGAAATATGGTAAATTTAAGACTAAAGTATAAATTCTTTAATTTGTGCTTTTTTCTTATCAGTATAGTAACAGTGAAATTCCATTAACCTGGCACTGGTATGTTAGCATGTCAACTTGTCATTGGGGGGTATCTGTGCACTAGATAGGTCCATAGTTAAGATTTTTGTGTAAAAGTTTTCAAAACGTGCAGTTTTTGGAAAGGTGTGTGGATTCTCCTAGAGATGACATGATGTTCTCTTAGGAAACCAATTAGCTTGTGCATGATTTTTTGAAAGACACTAGTGCACAGGTTTGATATGAGAAGCAGAAATATTTAGTACACTTGGAATAAATAATTATCGTGAAATCAGCTACTGTTACTGTTTGTATGCTTTGATAATTATAGTCAGTAAAAGTGTACAAAGCACAGAGTAAGAATAGTATTATTGTTTCAAGCCAATCATGGGTAGGAATAGCCTGTAAAAATTGAAATGATGTGTTATAAACAATCATAAAAGGTCAATTTATACAGTTTTACATATCTTCATATGTAAAACTGTATAAATTGGCCTTTTATGATTGTGTCCAGGGGATTGAAAAAATTAGAAAAACTGTTTAATAAGGCAGCATATTTAATAATCTGGCGCTGTGCCAGTCTCGATAATGCTAGGTTAATGGAATGTCACTGTATTTAAAAATACACTTCTTTATTGAAATATAAATCAAAGCAATCAATTTTTATTAAAAATCTATGTTAAATAAATAACTTGTAATTATTTAAATTTGCAGATTCCACAAAAGAATGCATTGATTAAACATCAACAAGCATTCGACGTTCATATTGATGAAGAAAGTACCAAGATAACTAAGTACAATTTTTTTATAGAAAAATTTTTGATTTTTGCATTTCGATAAATTTCAATAATAAAATTATTATTAAAAAAATCTATATTAATTTTTTTACATGTTTATTGATAATTTGGTAAATGGTAAGTCACAAGCAGAAAAGTACCTGTTTAATTATAGAGAATTCATCTATGAGTTCAGAAAATAAATATAAATATGCATATTTATTTAATTAAACAAATACTATACACCTAAATGTCTGATAATTAATTATTATTAAATTTTTTACTTTATTTCATAGGTTCTAACATTTTTCAGCATTGCACTTTCTTTTGATATTTTAAAATATCTTTGCATTACTCTAGATCAGGGGTGTCCAACCCGCGGCCTGTGGGCCGCATGCGGCCCAATGAAGGTGTAAACAAAACCGACAAATGTTTTAATTTTTTTATTATTTATTTATTTCAACGGCATAAACTCAGAAAAGAAATTTCACAAAGCCATAAACGTTTATTTATATTTCAGTTTTGAGTGGAAATGAAATATATTCATGTACTTGGAGATGTGTGAATGAGGAAGGATTATTAAATAAAGCTGGATTTGTGACTTAAAGGATTATAGACCCAAATTTGGTGAAAGGAGAGAAAGGACGAAAGATAAAAAGTTGTCAGAAAGGTTAAATAGTTCTTCTGTTAGGCAAATATTGAGTCTTAATTTTCCAACCTTTCTCACTTCTTTATCTTTTGTCCTTTCTCTTCTTTTTCCGCATTTGGCTCTATAATCCTTTGAGTCAAAACTCCAGCTTTATTTAGTATTCCTTCCAGCGTTGCAAGATTTGGCTACATTGCGCCAAA